AACTCTGAACTTTGACCTTTGCCCGTAACAATTTTATCCACCGATAATAGATGATTTTCTGCACAAACTGCAGATGACATAGTTGCATTCAGATTGCTCAAAATAAATTTTAACATCAAAGCATTGAGAGATACAGTTTAGGGTTACTTAAGCATGAGAAGAAAACATAAGCTCAGCTTTTATTAAATGATAATATAAGAAATAATTTTCAACAATTTTTGTATGAACAAAATCTTTTAGATAAATAGCACAAACGTAGGAAAATTTTTTAACGGCAGCATTTTTACTTTATTTTTAAATTTTTTATGTTCATATTTTCGACCTTTATTATTTTAAAAACAGTCATCATTATCATAAACAAAGCTAAATTTACTTGTACGAACTATAGTAATAATCTTATTAGAAATAAATGGAAGTCAAAACACTGCCTACACCCGAAAAAAAAGGAAAGTGCTCAGCTGATGTCCGAGATAACGTATTAGCACACTAATAACACCACGTCCTTTGTGGTACGTGAAGTCAAAATCATGAAGATCGATTTCAAATAACTTCGCATAAGCTTTTGGATAAAATCAAAAACAAGATAGAATGATTACTGGAATGTAGAATATTCTAAAAAAAATTTATGATACCATGCACGAAGGCATAATAAATTCTATTATCGCTTAAATTATCTATAAAGCTACTTTTTACCACCTTTTTTACTAGGGAATGCCGCAGATATTAATTTTGTTTTCGTATTAAAGCATGTTCGAATGGGGTCGCAGAACTGATTGATTTTAGATACAACTACTGCCTTTAAATCTGCAGGATGTAAACTTCCATCCACAATTATTCTTTCCAATTCATCACAACCATTAACTTCTATATTTCCACCGTTTTCTTCCGAGCGTTCGATTAATAACTCTAAAACTTGAAATTGAAAAAAAAGGTCCATTTTTTGTAAAACTCAAACAATTCAGAAAATCTCTAAAATATTTCCGAATAACTATTAAGTGAAAAATATATAACTAATTTAACATTACAGGCAGAGAGAAAAAGATCAAAAAAAGTTGTTGCATTTCCACTGAGTTAAATTGCGGGAGTTAAACAATCGAAAGAGAATAATAAATTTTGGATTAATTAGGAATTTAAATCATGATAATCATTAACAAGAGAATAGGAAGTAAAAAAATATTAAAGAAAAACTTTTAGGGCCAAGCTATATAGAAATATTTTATTATGCAACATATATTAAAAATTTCGGCCAAAAGACCATTATTTTTAGACTGCACACACAGTTTTTATTAACGAAATAGAAAACTAATGATTACGCAATAACTTACTTGATCCAAAATATAAGAATATAAAATGCTTTGCAAGTTCGAAAGCGATATTGCCTTTCAAATTACCAGGTTCGCAAAATGAACGTGCGATTTTCTGCTTAACCTGCTTTGGTGTATCCAGAGGATCCAAATGAAATTCAGGATCCGATGCAGACATTTTACTGCCCGACATAGATGGCAAAACTGGAACTAACAGATGCGCACGAGGCTGTTGCCCACGCCGTTGCATCGTCTGAAAAATCCGAGTGCAATGAAGGATAATTTGAGGTTGGCAAAAAAGCAAAAACCTTAGCAATTCTATCAAAAAGGAAAATCAGAAATGACGTATTTACAGTGTTACCATACAAATAAAAAGTGACAAAAAAGGAGAAGTAAAAATCATTCCACCACTTCAAATTTCATCATTCTATTTCAAGCAACTGGAAATAACACAAAAAATTTCATAATTTGAAAATTAAATGATTAAAAACCTGCTCAGAGAACTCCGAAAAAGGACGCATTTCCTCACCCATAACGACAATATCAATATTCATACGATAATGATCAATGGTGAAGTACAAAGGTGATAACAATGAGCACAATGTTACTCCGTCCAAAATGGATGCTTCATCTCGAGTTACTTTCGAAGCCATCTGATACATTTCCAAAGTATATTCCCTGGGAATGAAACTCTGTTTTGCTTTACATTTAATCATGGTATGCAAATACAAATCAATATCGACCTAACCCATTCCAGTTAAAGTTAAATGGTAATATCATGTGATACTGAATCTAATGCATCCACTAGCACTCTTCAGTAATTCAAAACATATCTAATTATCCGGATTAAAAATTTAGGATAAATAATCATTTAAAACATGAAAAAAGCAAAACAAAACTCACGGTTCTAATTGGTAGCTCGATCCCCTAATAATTTCAACATTTTTCAAGTCAAGCATACTAAAAATCTGCTGCAAAATCACAGTATAATAATCACAGCGTGCTTCTCGAATATTCCATGAGCATTTTTCATTATCCAAAAAGGCATCGATATCAGCCAAAACTACCGTTAATGAAACATTCCCCAGCAACTGCAGTTTCTAAAAAAAAAAAACAATAACTGATATGCTGTCAAATGACATATACAAAATCAACAAACTGTGATAAAGTAGTTAGAGAAATCAATTTCTTTCAGAAAACAAAACATCATCTATAATTTTTGTTTACGTGAATTAATGCATGTTTACCCAATCTTCATAAAACTAATATGCAAATATAAGTTGAAAACGATTGATGAGCTGGGGACAAATCTACTTCGCTTATTTTGAATCGAAAAATAATAAGCGAAAACAAAAAAATTTTTGTCAACATTTATATTGCTTAAAAAATATGACTACATTAAAAATTAATTAAAAAAGAACCTTCAATTTGAAAAGCGGAATAACAAAACCAAGGTGGAAGCGACCTTTCGGCGCTATCATATAAACAACACGTAACAAACTATTTTCTTTGATTCGTCTCTTAAGCCATATTTCACCACTGACCAACTGTAAGAGAGAGAATTATGACTTCAATAATTTCTATATTCTACAATTTAAATGGCTAAACTATTTAAATTGCAGAATAAAATATAATGATAATTATATAGGAATCATTAATGCAATCTTAGAGAACACAAATACTTCAGTATCACAGGTGATTTCTCGAAACCTTTGATCTTCTGCTTCATTCAGTGTGACGCCATCAGTTGCGAGACTGACAGAGTGTGGTAAACTGTTATCAAACATATTTTTGGAATATCCTTTTTCTAATAATGATATCATTTCGCCATCCACACAGTTCTTCTGTACTTCTTCCAGTAATTTACAAATGAATTCCTGCAAAAAAGCAGAGAGCAAATAAAACTAAGAAAGAAAATAATCAAAAAAAAAAAATCAAGATAACGAAGTAAAATAAAAAAACAAAGACATACTGAGAAAAATACAAGTAAAATCTGGAGTAATGTAAAAGGGGGACGATAGCACTGACTTAACTGTTCGAACAAATACTATAGAATGCAACGAATTGCACCTAATGAGTTTATTCGACAACTATTTTGCATACTGCGAAACTGGCACATTGATGTATGCCTGTACCAGTTTTAGAAGTATGCCCTGCAAGGATAACGAACCTTAAAAACCTCACGCGCCAACGGAACAGCTCCGCACTAAACCATAGTGACAGTTACTGAAATGAAGCGGTACTGCTTATCAATACAGTACAGTTATTTTTTAGATGTTTCTAACAAAGATTTCTTAAGAAAATACGACCGCTCGAAACGTCAAAAAATTTATGAGAATTAAATTATTGCTCCACTTAAACATCAACTCTTTTTTTCAACACAAGATTCAATATTAGCAACGAGTTGTGGTAGCATCAGAACCTCATATTCACTTCAATTTTTAATTTTGATTCTCTGCTACAGCAATAATTTTGCATATTTTGCACGCTTACTAATTACGAACATAGCAGGCGTATTAGAATATGCGTGCACATGGACTACAATTTCTTATTACTTCTTATTAATTATTAGTATCAATAATATTACGCCAAACAGTTAAATTGAACTCATTTAGAAAAGAAGATAATTGTTATTGGGATTTTTCTACTAAAGTTTAATGCAATAAAATAAAAAGATAAAATTTCAGATAAAACAAACTTTAACAGTCTCTTTCAAGCCAGTTTCAGAGATCCTTCCCATACTGTACTCTTCAAATAAGTTCTTATAGTTATCGTATTCTCTTGCATCAAAAGTAATCGTCTTCGGTGAAACAATTGGAAATAAAACGTATTCACAAAAAGCTAGTACACCGTTTTCAGCGGAATCAGGACTGCAGACAGCGCTATCAATCTTCCTCCGCACAACATCTGCTTCATCCAGCAAATCAATTTTCGAATTTTCTTCTGAACTAAATCAAAATGTTCATTAAATTTTAACAGATATAAAAATGTTTATTAATTTTCTTAGATATGGAATGGCGTGAATCTTAGTAAATTTTAACAAACTTTGAGACGAAGAAAATATAAACTTTCATATGATGAGAAATCACATAAGCTTAAGAAAGCAAGTATTATTAGGAAAACTAAAAGTGACAATATTCATTTATAAATCAATAAGTCAAGGATCAGAAAACCACCTGCTCATCTTCGATCCTTGCAATCCAGGTATCATAGGATTCATAAGATGAAACCTTTTACCCAATTTTAGCTTTGGAAGCTGTTCCTCAGCCAGAATAAAAATTTTCCTTTGGTCCACTCCACCAAACTGACCATCAACTTTCAAGTACTGTTCATCCAAAGCTTGTAATAATGGATAAAGTAAACCGCTTAATAAAGGTGATGCCACCTGCAAGGAATGAGATCAGCTATATGACATTTTAGTCACATACTTGACTTTAAATTCCAATCATATATTCATTTGAAAAAAGGACCTTACTTGCTTCACTACTTCAGCGCCAGCACGTAAAGCATCTCTCCTTGTTACAATATTACATAATCGAAGCAAATCAGATGTATATTCCCTTAAAATACAAACTATTAACTTGTTTCATGCAGAAGTAATAATTGAACATCAAATAAGAAATCTACTAAACTGTAAGTGCTGTGTAAAGCATCAACCGACTTAAATTTCAACCATTTCGACAAAAAATTAACCTCGATAGTTGATACGATGTTCCTCTAACAAAATGTAGTTGGTCCAATGGCACATGCAATGCGGTAAGCAGTGCCTTGATTACTTTTTCATAATATAATACCCGATTATCTAGAACTTCCCAAGTACTCTTTAAATTATCCAAAAAGGCATGCAAATCAGCAAACAATATTGTCACCTGAATAAAAAGTCAGAGCATTATTCGGAGAAAGTAGGGAATTAAATAATAATAAAAATACAACGAAACCTCCCAAAATTAATTCTGGAATTCAAGTGATTTTTTCTAGGAATGCTATTTTGAAATTAATTCACAATACATACCTTCAGATTAGCGGACAAAAAATCAGCAATTTTTCTTATCGGTACAAAATATCCTACATGCGGCTTTCCCGTAGTCGCCGTGCCCCAGTAGATATGAATGTTTTTTTTCGAGGCTAACTGTTTTATAATTTTCTCCAATCCTAGCACTTCCTGAAAGGAACACTAAATATAGAGTGATTACCACGAGTAAGAAATTAGAATAAATTAGATGAAATGCAACCCATCCAAATAATAAAGCACTTTTTTTTTTAGTTTTAACACATAAAATAATAAGCAAGTGAAGAAAACCTGCAAATTCCTTGTAATAAGGTTCAATCGACACAAATCTTCCTCCGATAATTCATCAGTGCTAGCTTTCACACTCAATATATCTCCGTTTGCCATACTGAAAATCAATTATTTTAAAAATTATGTCAACATCAAATTTTTAAACACAGGATGAATCGATAATTCCTTTGGTAGTAGCAATACTAATTGTATTTTATCCTAACTTAAAGTAAACCAGTTTAGGAAATAACACTTTATGTAAATTTTAAATAACACAAGTAATAACGATGTAATCAAACAACTGAAATAATTTCGATCTCAAATTTTGTAAAATTACTCCCATCGCGGTAAAACCCCCATTATATACGGGAACATCCGGGGGAAAAACATCACATCCACACCAACCAATAACACCAATCAAAATATCACGATTAGCAATGCTGCAGCCAGCAGAAAAGCACGCAATGCAATTATTATGTTTCAGTGAGCAAAATCGTTCATTAATCGGTTTGCCCTTTAGAGAAATGCCATTGGGAAATTCCAGTTTATCATCGATTAAATTGATGCATCTAATATCATTGAGCGATTTAAACAGAAACGATGAATCAATGAATTTCTGATAAATTTATCAATTCCGAAGAAGGAAACAATTCCAATCAAAAATTTCAAGCAATATTTAAACAGGATGTCAAATTAGCTGAAATTTTTGTGAAAATGCTTATTTTGAAATGCGATCATAATCATTTATGAATTTATCATGAAAAAAAAAACGCAAAAATTTAAATTTGATAAAGTAAACTGTTATACGAAAAATACCGTAAAATTTGATAAAAATAAAAGTAAACTGAAAATAATTGACTGAAATATAGCAACACATTATCTTTCATCAATTTCAATTTTGCCCTATCATTTTATCAAATGATGATGATATGTGAGATCAGTGACTAACATCCGTTTTTCGTTCTCATAGAAAGGTATGATTAAAATGCTTGTTTATCATGTGATGAAGGCATTTGTTGTCCTCATCTGGTTTGTCTGCATTTCCTGTTTCGTACATGCAAGCAAATATTTTCGCGAGACAGAATACGGTAATAATTTACTGGTGGCATTTACTTTTATTTTCTTGCTGACCTTTCTTTCTGACCTTTAGTTTTGATCTGATTTGACTTGATTTGAAATTATTTGCTTTCTTTGAAAATGAACTGCTCACAATGAGTGATGTTTAATGAAAAGATAATTCCAGTAAAAAATAATAAATTTTCTTTGCTTTTTTTTTCTTTTTTTGGTAAAACAGTATTTTATTTTTTTGATAAGTAGAAAATTAATAGCTAATAAAATTGAAATGAATAATATCCCTGTTTTCTTAGTGTACCATAATAGTTCGATTGTTTAACAAATACAAATGATTATATGTAAATT